ACTTTTTCCAAACCTTCTTGTCAAGAAAAGGGTATTTCACCCATAAGAGCTCAATATTAAGCTTAGGCTTCATAATATAGTCACTCGTGACTTAAAACTCCTCCAAGCCATACCACCATAAGCGATCCATTTTTTTCAACTTCGAATCATCATTAAACTGAAACTTCAATTACACATTTACATCAATAAGTATGTATTAGCGTTTATATAAAATAATATCGAATCAAATTGATGAAAATTAAAATTAATTCATGAATGTTTGTCCATATCCTCTTTTTCACCTCATTTGTTACATCTTTCCAAACATCTAACAATATGATAACTTTGCTATGTCCAAGGAACACAATATAACCCTTAAATAGCGAATAATATGGACCATAAAGAATAGTATAAATGACACTAAACTCGACCGAAAGTATGACACCCGACTTACAGACTTTTGTTAATTTATCTATCATTGCGGCACCTTTTTTTTTTTTTTTTTTTTGTTCTTCTACTTCATAATGAGAATCATTTGTACTAGTTTAATTTGTATATGTAGCTTTGTCGCTACTAGATGAAAAAGATGCCATATATCAAGACATAAAAAAATCAACATCAAAACACAAACATCATCAACAATAACATCATTAACACAATGGAATCAACAACAATAGTTGCATCATCAACACAATGGCATCAACAACAAAAAATACATAAGCAACAATATGACACCATCAACAATAACAATGGTATTATCAACAACAATGGCATCAACAAATACATAAGCGTAATTGGCATCATCAATATAATGGCATCAAGAACAACAAATATATAAACTCCAATGGAAAATGACGGTACCATAGATGCATGGGGAAAAATTTTACGTACTGAAAATGTGATGAATAAGTAAAGAAATATTGCCAGAATCTTTGAGATCCTCCTCGATAGCTAAACCGAAGGCTAGTCAAGAACGAAGAACACATTGTCGACTCCTTCCTCGATGATAAGAAAACACAGACATTGGTTGAAAATGTGATTTTTTCTTCAGATTTGAAGATGGTGTTGTACATTTGGTTAGGGTTGAAATTGGTTTTGTTTCGTTAGGGTTGAAACTGGTCTTATTTCGTTAGGATTAGAATGACGTTGTCTGGTTAGGGTTGAAAATTGCGTTGTTTCGATAAGGGTTGTTTCTAGATGGAAATGAAAATATGAAACTGAAGAGACAAGTTAGCTAGCTCTGTTTAAAGTGATTAAATAATATCACAATGGTTGTTTATCAAAACTGTTGTGATACATGATGAAATTTTATAGAAAAACGCAAGGTTTTAACCAATTATTTTTTTTTTAAAATAATGAAAAATGTATTATAATAGTGTTTTTAGACAATCGTGTTGATATAAGATTTACATTAATAATATTTTATAAAAAATCATTAGGTTTTAAGTAATTAATTTTTTTTATAAATTAGAATATATATCACAACGGTTAGTTTAAAGAACCATAGTGATATAACTTTTTTTTATAAATAAAATTGAAAGGATGTGCTAAAGTATTGAATAAATCATGAATTAGTAGGCGCTGAGAATTGAACTAGTGAAACGTCAATTGATATCACTACGGTTGTTTTAAAAACTTGTGGTAATAAATTAATAACGCTTAACTAAAAAATAAAAAATATGTATACGCGTCTGAATTTAGAGATATATCACCACACCCATTGGAAGGACCGTAGTAATGGTGGTGTCGTTGTATTTACTTTTTGTAGTAGTAGTCATATGAAAATCCATTATTAAACCACATTTTATTCTCCAATATAACCTTCATTTCTGCCTGACATATGTAAATCATCAATGTATAGACAAAGGATGATCACTCATTTGCTTATATCCTTCTTCACATACACACCATGTTTGGATACATATTATCAAATTCTATCTCCTTTAAAAACCCATAAATTCTCTTGTTCCAAGCTCTTGGTGTTTGCATAAGACCATACAACGTCTTCCTCAATCTATAAAACTTGAATTCTTGATTTTTCACAACAAAACCAGGTGGTTATACCCCGTACACCTCATTTTTTAAAGGGTCATTCAATAATGCAGATTTGACATCCATTTGCTAGAATTACCAATTGTTGTCATTTGAAAGATTATTTAGAAGGAGATTATAAGGATTAAGAGATTCTTTATCTAGGGGGATCGTGAGCATCAACCTAAAATGAGCTGGATTAGTTAGAAGAAGAAATGTTGGAGTAAGGAAAATGGCGGCGTAGGTGTTAAGCAGGTGGGTGAGTTCAATGTGACCTTGCTCTCCAAATGGCTCTGAAGAGTTCTTTCCGACTCAGAAGCAGTGTTGAAAGAGTTGCTTGCTTTTAGATACGAGCTAACTTGTTATTGGTTTGCTAACTCAGTCAATTATAAAGTTGGTAATGACACTTCTGTCATTTTTTGGAAAAATAGTTGGTTTAACTCTGATATTCTTTGCTTATCTTTCTCTGAGTTATTCGAGATGGTTGTCAACAAGAACATTAAAGTTACAGAAGCTTCGGTTCAGTCGAATGGTTCTTGAGTTTAGTCTTTAAATTTGAGGGAAGAAGATTTACTTGTGGAAGTTCTTGAGCAGTTGGAGTATTTAGCGCATATTCTGGATCATGTTTCTCTTTTCTCTGATCGTGTAGGTGTTAGATGCCCAACTTTGCTTATTTGATCTATCGAATATGGCCATCTTTCACTCCTTTTTGTCAAGAAAGTGTTCAAAATCACTCTTGCTTTGGTTGTTTTGCAACATTATGTGAAAATGTCTTGGTACCTTTGATTTGTGTGTTATTGTGCAGGAATTAGGCATGAAAGAGTGGAAATTAAGACACAAGAAAGATGGCAAAGAAACCAAGACAACATGCAAACAACAGCAAGTTTGCCCAGCGAACTTGCTAGCGAAGCTACCACCAAAACTTCACAAAGTTCGCTAGGCGAACTATGTAGCGAAGGCCAGGAATCCAAAACAGTAAGGAAAGAGCCATAAACTCGCTAGGCGAAGAAGGAAGCGAAGAACTCGTTAGGTGAAGAGGTAGCAAACACTCTCAGACTTAAAACAACAAGGAAAGAGCCACAAACTCGCTGTGCGAAGTGTGAAGCGAAGACTTCACTAGGCGAACATTTCTTCGCACAACGAACATTGTGATTTTTGTCTGGGGAGCTATCACAAGACTTAGGCACTTCAGGTGCAATTTTGGGTGTTCGCTAGGCGAACAATTCGTTCGCACTGCGAACGTGACAACGCAACAGTCACTTTTATAAGTAGTATGAGCTACTTTTTGTAAAAATGTCTAATTTTCTTGTACTTGCATTTTGAGAGGATTTTCTGACCTAGAAACCTCATTCCTCCATTTCTCATCATCTCTTAGCAATATTTCATAAAAAGAAGGTGGATTTCCATCCAATCTCGATTATCCGACTCCGATGTTGATCAACCTTCTTCCGAAACTTGTTGCTCAAGCTATCATGGAAATGATTGGCTAAATCCCTTTCTTGTCAAGGTTAGAAGTAGTTAGTTCAGATTTTATGTATTCCATTTGATCTTTTGTATGTGAACAAATGTTGTGATCAATATAGATGAAGTTATTTGCTACTCTTTGTACATTTATGGTTTGTAATGCTTTAGACACGAACTTTCCAAGTCTTGACCTAAAATCTTCATCTATCAACGATACAAATTCTAGACATAGGTTTGAAAGTTGATATCCGCTTTGTATTGATCTTAATGCTTATTATTTCAATTATTACTTAGAGAGATCATTTAACGGTCGAAACAATAACAACCACAAAATTAATTTAGACATGAACGTTTTTGCGAGGATACATGGTTATTTTGGTTAAAACTTCGTTCACATATTTGATTGATTGGATACGTTTAGGACGGACTAGCGAACCCTAATCTTGACATGTTTTTATCAAACTTAGACTGAATTTTATTCCGCTTTATTTCTTGCAAACTTTTGTTACGAAATTGAAACCATTCTAAAACCCCTTTTCTTAAGACATTAAACTGTTGAACGACAAGTATTTATATTCTCTTCAATTCCTGTGGAGACGATAAAACACTACCCCAAAATACCATCTAACAGTAGGTGCTTTTAATTTGTGGCAGGAATTTGCTAGAGTTTTGTTTAATAACAACTATGTGGCGTTTCAAAAGCAACTGAGCATGAATTGCGTTCTTGATTATGCATCTCTTGATAGTTTTAATTTGATTTGGAAGTCAAAACTTCTTAGTAAGATCCAGGTCTTCTGTTGGAAAATGTTGATGGAAGGCCTTCCAACCAAAGTTCAATTGATCAAAAAAATATATTCTACTGGAGCCTAATAATGAAGCTTGCCCTTTTTGTCAAATCATGGAAGAAAATGAATTGCATCTTTTCAAAAATTGTGTGTTTAGTAAAATTGCTTGGAATGATCTTTTTTCTTAGTTGTGAATTGTGGTGGAGGAGAGAAATAACTCCCTGGTAGATTTCATGATTTCAATTTGTTCAAAGCTGAAGAGGAGATCTTGACAAACCACTTGTTTGTTTTGGGCAACAATTTGTTGGATCATTTTGTTAAAACTAAATGCTATTATTTTCATAGATGAAGAACTCGCAAACTTGGAGTTTGTTGATAGGATGAAAGCCCTTTCGTGGGTAGTAGTGTTTTTGTTTGTTGGGAGGATAGGATGTGTAATCCGACTTCAGTTTTAACTTATAAATATTTGTAATTTTTTGCTTTGAGGCAATTGGTTTCTTCTCTTACTCTTTCTTTTCTTCTGTGTTAATACAAGTTGGCTTATAAAGAATGCTCAAAAATTAAAAATGAATAAGGATGTTGTAAGTAGTGATAATAATTCAATTTTTTTTTTTGAAAAAATTAATTCTTGCAGAAGTACTCCAAATTAAGATACATTTGGATTCATTCCTTAACATTTCCTAATGGATAATCACGTGGAAGGTTTTTCAATAAAATTAAGAAAACAAAACAAACAATCAATTACATGGAATATAGTTCATGTGAAGCAACCAAGTTCTTAGAAATCTCAAATATAAGTCTAGCCTCAAATGCATCACCAGAACAACCTTTAGAACACAATTGAGAAGCCTTTGGAATTCGTTTCACACCAAATTTGTTATCGGTGTTCAATGCCCCTCCAACATTACCAGCCATCTTCAACATAAAGTTCATATAAATATTCTTAACTTTTCTCACCAACTTCAATGGTGATCTTATCATCCATCTTATTTTTGGGCTTGTTCTGATCCTCCGATCCCTACGCGGACCTCTCATCCGAATGATCGGTATCTTCTTTCGTTGGCCAGTGGTGGTTGTGCCGCCATAGTCGAGACGCCGGTGGCCCCTTCTGCTCAAGTACCTCTTTATTTCCATGTTTTGAATTGCTTGTGCTGGTGAATGAGAATGATGATTTTATCAGAATAGAGATTATTGTTTGAAATTGAATTAACTATGCTATATGCTATGCTCATTGGACTATATATGTATGTGAGAGAGATATTAACAAAATAATAGCACGTTTAATTTGGTCAAAACATATAAAATAAAGGGCTGCATTTTAAACAACACTGACACGATATAATATGTTGGAGTAAACAAATATAGGAGAGTATGAAAAACGAGATTCAACAATTAATTTGCTTTCTTTTCTTCTAGTTGCTTTGAGTTTTTAGATTTAAATTTTTTTAAATATTGCACTAATTGACTTAAATGAGGGGCACAATTAACGTTGCTATTGTTTATGTTTTTTTGTATTTTGTATGTCTCTCACTAAGCCTCCCAATCATACTTGGCATATTTTTGGAACTATGCTTTTATCGTTAGTTTTTATGGATTTTATCGGTTTTTTAAACAATGTTGTGTTGTATCGGATTTTTTTTTTAAAATATTGAATTTTGTTTTACAAGATTTAACATAAACTTATTTTGAAAGTTTTATAAAGCATATTGGATTTCATTCATTTCTATGAAGAATTACCCGATGTTTTTGAAAAAATTTGATTAAAATCCATTGATTTCGATAGTCTTGGGGATTTATGGATAAATTATGAAGAAATACCGGATTTTTTTAAGAAATTCGGTATAAGATTTTGGAAAAGTTTGTGAAGAAGTACTAGATTTTTTGAAAAATGTCGGTAACCTAAATTAGATATTAAATATATCGAAAAATTCAGTACATTCTAAATTTTTTGATTTTTAAAAAAATCGATAGTAAGTGATTTTTATTTATGTGTTTTTGTTTTTTAATCTAAGCTTTTGACATTTTTAACCTAACAATATATATATATATATATATATATATATATATATATATATATATATATATATATATATATATATATATATATATATATATATATATATATATATATATATATATATATATATATATATATATATATATATATATATATATATATATATATATATATATATATATATATATATATATATATATATATATATATATATATATATATATATATATATATATATATATATATATATATATATATATATATATATATATATATATATATGAATACAAAACTAATTATGTTGACTTCGCAGAAGAGCTTCTGCCTAATCTGTTATACATCCCGTATATGATGTTTCCCATGCTATTGCACTTTCACTACAGTTTTGTCTCCAATGGTTAGTGAACTGAGACAATTGACAATCAGGTTTCAACTTCACTTGAACTCAATGACTGTTGTTAATATAATCAACTGCAATAAGTTTATGTGTCTACTCACAGACATAAATGGAAATACTAGTAGTGCAAAGAAAGTGATGTTAAGATTCTTGGACGATGAGACCAATATAAAATTATATCTAGAAGTAATAGGGTAACGCATATCGGGAATCGTCATCCATTTCATGATTCTGAACACACAAGTTAGATACTTATAATGAACTCCTGACTTCAGAGACTGTGTCATAAAACTCCTTGAAATACAAATGATCGTTTTGATAAACTTCACAATCTAACTGCATTTGAACCAAAGACCATGACTTTTCACCCTATCCAATTAAATTTGCAATAACATGGAAACCACAATTTCTATCAGGCTTCATATCGACAATGTCTTCAATGTAGTCATATAAGAAAATAGAAAATTGAGACAAGTAAGGATGTCTTGAAGACTTGATAGATGGTTGACTTGTAGTTGGTTTTGTACATAATATCTTCCTCAGCTTATTACAGGCCTCAACATACTCCAATTGCAAAGGATCACGATGCGCATCACTCTCTTGACCCCTTTTTTACTTTTCTTATTTCCCTTTTTTGGCTTAACCTTCACTAGTGGTGGACACATGGAAGTTGTGGATGGATGTGCTAGTTCCCAAACTTTTTTCTTCATTTCCCTCTAGCCAACTACATCCAATGTACCGAAATACCTCTTTAATTATTCACACTCTTGCTTTGAATCCAATTGTGCCCCTCTATCTTCTTGTGTGACTTCATGATCTTCAATGTGTAATTTCTTCCAAAACACATTAATGGATTCTAACGGAACATGGTCACTTTGTATTTGAAGACCAGTAAGTTAACACACACACAAGGTAATCCATGTGTAATTCTAATGAAACAACCACATACATCATTGTCAAAATCAACGAATTTGCAAAAAAATGCGATTTGCTTGGTTTCACTGATTCCAATCGGTGCGGAGAGAACGATGATAAAAAATCTATAGCTGGATACATCTTTATGTTTCGTGCGACACCAATGTCGTTATGTTCGAAGAAGGAACCGTGGTTGCACTCTCATCTTGTGAGGCTGAGTACATCGTCGATTCGTTATGTGTGTGCCAAGCTATATAGAGTATGAATCTATTAGAGAAGGCTGACAACAGTGATCGTGAGGCTGTCACACTCTTAGTTGACAAATTTTCCGCGATTAATCATGCTAAAAACTCAATTGCACATGTGATAATTGCCAAATTGTGTTAAATTTATGTGTAATTTTTGTAGCATTAATTGTCTTAATTAATTGGTTTTACTAGTGAAATCCTTAACTTTAGTGTGAATAAGTAATCATTTAGTATATTAGTGTAGTTTTTGTCGGTTCGTGTAAATATTATTTTGCTTTGATTATTTTAATCTACTTTTGTAGGTTTTCATGTATAATTGAAGCATTGTAATCAAAGTAAAAATCATGGTATTTAGTTATTGTAATATAGGGCATTGAATAAGCTTTCCAACGCTTATGTTCGTACGTCAATCGCAATTACGGTTCTTGAGTTATGGTGAAAATAAGAAACTAGTTTTTTCTCATTACTGTCAGGCCGTGCTGAGCACCCTCTGATGGGTCTGAGCATGATCTGTGATTTCTAGCCCCTACTTATTCATTTTTCCAAAGATTTTTAGGTTATGGTTTTGGAAACTTTTAACCTCATTTCCATCAACACACTTTTTAGAAATAAAGGCTTAGAAAACAGCATTAGGGGTTGCATCTTGAAGATCTGGAGTTAGGCTTGCATCAATTGTGGGGAAATCACGATGGATGTTTGTTCTTCTCCATTTTTCTCCTTGTGATTTATCTCTTGTTGGGGTTGTAAGGTAAGTTCACTGTTAAAGTGTGTCTTTTTATCGATCATGGCATTTTGTATGATTTATTCATGCGTTAGGATTCAATGTTATCCTCGTTTACTTGTTTACTTTTGATTTGAATCGTGGTTAAGAAACACTCTTCAAATCTAGATCTAGGATAATTATCTGTTAGATTCTAAACTCTAGACATATATTTAGATTTAACATTCGTGTGAGTATCAAATCTTAATGCTCCGTGCTGTTTAATAGGCTGAGAGATCATCGATTAAACAATACGGTAGAACTCTCGTCAGCATGACAGACATGCACACTAATGTGAGTGATACATGATGATATTGATAAGTGTTTAGATTGTGCATAACTGTTTGGTAAATTACATGTTTGATCGGTGGATGAAATTCGACCTTGATAAACATTCATATCTCTTTGAAGCTTTATTTTTCATACATTCATTTTTATATAGTGTAGTTTTAAATTTAAACCTTACAAACCTAAGCTTTAAATTATAGAGGCCGTTGAACGACATTTGATTCCTCACACCAATCCCTATGGAGACAACAAAACCAGATACCTACTAACTTTTGCTTACCGCTTTACCACAATAACAACATGGGAGGAGCAAACATATAGAGATGAAATTCCACTATTTGAGGGAACTGGTTGCTGAAGGGAGGTTACGTTTGGGGTACTACAGAACCGAGGATAAAGCTGCAAATTGGTTATCGAAAGGGATCATAAATGATGTTTTCAAGAGGTAAAAGATGAGCATGAGGATGGTATACATGCACCACTTGAATTAAGGTGGTGTGTTAAAGTTTTATGTGTAATTGCAAGTGGTGTCATACTGTCCAGAAGCAGAAATCTGTGTTTTCCGAGGGTGTAACTGGTTACCAGATTTGGTGTAAACAATTACCAATGCAAGTGATTTAATTGTAGAATTAAATCATGTTAGGTGTAACTAGTTACACATGTAAGTGATTTAATTGTAAAATTAATTCATGTCAGGTGTAACCGGTGACCCATTTTGGCGTAATCGGTTACATGCACGAGTTTTTATGTTTTCTGCCATTGTACTTGATCATTTTGTATCTCACTTGTAATGTAACCTCTATATAAATGTGTTGGATGCACTCTCACTAAATCTAATGGAATTTTTTGCACTCTCTCTCTCTCTCACACACACACACACACACACACACACACACACACACACACACACTCTGCACTTCCAAAATTTCCTTCAAATTAATTTCACCAATCTTGTGGTTTTTTGTTCCAACACTTAGCAATTATTTCACCCCATATCCATTTTCATCAAGGCTCACAACATCATGATCCATAACATCCTATTTTTCTTCAAAAAAACACCTTGTGTTCAAGGTGGAAGTAAGGATAAGTTTTTTGAATGTCTTTAAGGAGCTCCCAAATGGCATCCTCCGGGTACAGACCAACCCATTACACAACCACTTGGGGAGAAGAATTTTCTGACTCCTGCTTCCAGTCAAGGATGCTTAAATGTTGCACCTTGGGAGAATTTCCATCTATATCTAGAGGTAGAGTCACTGGTTGAGCATTAGGGTCATGAAATGATTTGAGTTTGGAGAAGTGAAACACAGGATGTATTATGGTGTTCGGTGGTAGTGCTAATTCAAAAGCAACACTGCCAATTTGTCACACTAACTCAAAAGTACCATACAATAGCTTGGAGAGTTTATGAGTATGTTGGGTTGACAAGGAAGACTGGCGATTAGATCTCAATTTAACATAAACCAAGTCTTTCGGCTTGAAGGTATGAGGAACCTGACGCTGATCATCATA